CACACACACACACACACACACACACACACACACACACACACACACACACACACACACACACACACACACACACAAACTGCATTATAAAACAGATAAACATGAGTCTTTAGTCTGGTTGTTTGTCAATGCCTAGCTGAAGTTATTATTTGAAGTAAATTGTGAAGAGAAAAGAAACCATAAGCCTCAGGGCCCGGCTTTATGTTCCGGTGCTTCCTTGGCTTCAAGCTCTCACTGTTTGTCCAAAATCTCCCTTGAGCCAGCTCTGCAGGGGGRAAATAACAGTCTAGGACATCTGATCATTTCTGGGGGGGTTTCCACATTGCACTGTGAAACTTTAGAGAATAGGCCATCAACCCGTCTATGGGTAGTATAATTTACATATCTTACTTTAGATGGATTTATTTAGTGTATGACAGTTCTGAAACTTGTTAATAAACATCATGACATGCATATGACTTTTGTTAAAAGCAAAGCCTATTTTATGCAGTTTACAATATAAACATAAAACACACAACTAGGTTTATCACTAATACACAGAACATTGAAAAACGTTGCAGCATAATTGGTGTCAAGGGATGTTGAAGAGAGATATAACATTTAAGGATTTCACTAATTTAATTGTTATATGTACTGTCATTACACAAGGTACATGTTCAGAGACTGAACAAAAAAAGTATATTTTAAATAAATATGAAATTTCCCTTAAATCCATAGTTTTAAGGTATTCTCCGGTAGTATATCCAATAATGTTGTTTAATAGTTCAATGCATTTGAGTCCTAAATGTTTTTTTTTGTTGTTTTTTTTCCAGGATCACTACTACAGCTGCCTGTATGATGGACCTAAGAAGGTATCCACTAGATGAGCAAAACTGCACACTTGAGATAGAGAGCTGTAAGTAATTATACTCTTCTTTTATTGTTATTATTGACATATATATGTATTTTAACTATATTCTTCAGCTTATCATAACTGTAAACTGACTTAGAAACAATGTAGTTTATTTAAGTCTCTCTGAAGTGAGTTTCACCAGTTGCAAAGGGACCTTAGCGTCAGGTGAGGCTGCAAATCCCAAGTTTGACTAAAATGTGAATCCAACTGGTATTTTACTGGCTTCTGAGGATTACTAGTTTTCACAATTGCTTAAGTGGGCAACAAGTGTCAAGGAGTCAAGGATTTTTTTTATTGTCATTCCATTTTTTTTTTTTGGTTTGTGGTATGAAATTTGTAGTCAGGTCCCAGATTAAGAATACACAAAATAAAAAATAAAAATGCAATATAATAAAATAATGCACATGTGTGAATAATTTAAAAGAGTAGAGAAGAGCTGAATTAGGTGCAGCTTGAGTTTAGCAGTCTGAAGGGTAGAAGCTGTTTCTCAGCCTGATGGTTTTGTTCTGGATGCTCCTCAGCCCTCTGCCTGAGGGGAGCAGCTGGAATAGATGGGTGGAGTCCATCATAATGTGGAGGGCCCTCCTCCTACATTGTGMTGTGTAGAGGTCCGACATGGYGGGCAGGCTGCTCCCCACAGTCCTCTGTCCAGCCTTAACCAGCCATCATCAAACTAACATTTTTGTTGTCAAGACACAAGGTCTTCTAACATTTTCTAACATATGGCTGATTTGTGTTTTCTGCACTCTTTACAAAATTCTTTCCCGTTTTTGTCTGACCTCAGCAGTGGGAATTGAAGACCAACAAAAAATCTATGTGACGAGAATACAGTATCTGTTCTGTGCTATTGCAGACCTATTCATACTTACTGTATATTGTAACCATTTTTTATTACATACATCTTTTTTATGATTTCATTTTTTACTTAAAGTCATCATTAGATTTTTCATTCTTTTTTGTTGTTTTTGTTGTTTTTTCAAATCACTTCAGTAGAAAAAAGAACTTAATATTAGTTTCTTAATTTCCTCATCATCAGTGATTTTTTTTAGTAAAGAGAAAATAGAGAAAGCGGGAAAAACAAAGATAGAAATAATTAGAAGGATTGAAATAGAGATTAGAAGTATATTAAATATACACCAACAAAACACAGGACCACACACCCAACATCTGTCCGCTCACCTGAAAAATAAATGGATAAATACATGGATGGCGTATATAAATATATACACATGACTATTCATACAGTATATAAAGATAAACATACTGTACATACATGCCTAGATTCATAAATATTGTCAATGTATACACACAGACATACTTTATAAAAACTCAGTGACCAGTCAGAACCCCCCGGATCAGAACACCTGTTTGTGAGCAGTTGTGAACATGCGTGTATATTCAAGAYTTCTCCAATGGAATATTTAATAGTGACTGTGGAGGACCGGAGACCCAACCCTCAAGACACGAGGCAGACATAGGGAGGACCAGAGCCCAAGGGCCCGAGAGGGATCCCGAGCGCAGAGCCCCAAGGGGCACCCGCACGGGAAGATCTGCCCACCCATCTCTCAGATCAGACCATAGGGGAGAACTGGGAGAGTTCCCCCAGCGACCACATTCACAGCCTCCAGGGCCAGCAGCGACAAACTCATGGGCCCCACCGGCACCCGCCATACCGGAGCAGATCCAGGAAAGGGCACAGAGATCCGGGCCCTCAGGTCGCACCCCCCTCCAGACCAAAGCCTGACAGGGCCAGAGGCTCCAGCAGGCAGTCACCAGGCCAGGCCGGCACACACCCCAGCACCCAGCCCCAGACCCCGGGAACCCTCAGCACACCGGCGGCCAGCCTCACACCCCTCAGATAAACCAGCGGGGGGGCAGACTCCAGCATGACAAATACCCAAACATACACAGACACAATCACACCATCCCACCCTCATCCTCACACCCACTCATTCAAAGACATACAAGGATGCCACATTCCACGCATACCGCYGATAAACACTCTATACCCCCAGGTCCAGGACATGCACCCACCCCCTACTGGAGGCAGCACACACCCAAACCCAGGAGGTAGTCGTGGAGAGGAGCAGATAGCCAAGGCCCGGCCCGGGCCGCACCAGGACGCCCGGCCAGCCCCTCGCCACAGTGAAGCTACGCCCATGGCCACCCCACCACACCGCCAACGGTGAAGCGCATCCCCCTAGCCAACCGCCCCCCGGAACCCAGCAGCCACTCCGGCCAGAGTCACCCACAGGAACCAAGAGCCACACCTCAGGAGACCAAACAGCACCAGGGAGGATGGAGATCCAGCCCCGCCCCCAGCAACCGTCGAAGCCCCGAGCCCACCCACAGCCCAGGACCGCACCCGGCGGCCTGCCCTTCTTCAGGACCCCCTCCCCAAATGGCAGTCTAGATTTACCATTCTTAATCACTATTGACCATCATTCCCATATGTCCTCATACACATTTTCATTCAGACAAGGAAGTTTGTATTTAGTTCTCAGTTTGTGCTTTTTAGATGACTGACATCTCCAACATCGTAGCCACTTTTTGATGCTCCTGAAACTTTGACATAATGAATATTATACCCATGAAATCTGATTTGTGAATGAATATTTTATCCATTTATTTTGATCTTTTGTATTATAGCCTCAACACTAGTTCAATTACTTTTAATCACACTATTTAAAGCCAGCAGTTCTTTCATCAGTGTAAAGAGACTTGATAACAATATTGTTTTCTGCTTTCATAGGAAAGTTAATGTGTCAGAAATAAAGCAAATTTCTTAAAAGTTTTAATCATTTTGTGCAAAAGTACCCATGTTAAATGGTGTCATTTAAAATCACAATTGTATTTCTCATATTAACACATACGTACTGTATTTGTCATGTGAGTTTGATGAAATGGGATCTACAGGTTCTATTCAAGCTGCTTTTTTCAACTAATATAATATACTGCAAGCACAAAATTATTCTCACAAACATGTTTTTTTACAACAATTCAGAGCTGTCAGGCTTTTGAGCTTGTTCGTCTGTTATTTTAATAATCATTAAATGTGTATATGTCTGTCTGTGTACATACTGGATTTGTCATTTTGTTTTAAAGTGGTATTGTGCTAGAACAGGTTTGCAGTGTGTAGCGTACAGAAGATTTTTTTTTTTCATTCAACAGTTAAACAACAAGCAATCTTTTTTCACTGTCCCATTTTCCCAAAAGGTATTTTGTGAAAGCTTTGTAAGGTTCACCTCAACATTCTGTTTTCACGGTTTGGAAAAAGTGCAAATGCAAAACAAAAGTATTAGATAAGACATCGCTTTAGAAGTTGGTTGTTTACACTGCTCCGCTCTTTCCCAGGCAGGTCCCTTTGCTCTCACTTTTGTTTGCTGTCTTCTTGTAAAAACTCAATTTTCACATGTGTTTTGGAGCATTTATGATAACAGTCTGGGACTGTCAGTTAGAAATGAAAGCACTTTCACTTTGCAACGCATGATTGCTCCATGTATTACGTTGCAGCTGTTAAGCTGTTGCTTGTCAAACCATCCTCTGGGTTTGGTTGCAAATTTTTTTTATATGTAGGTCTATAAACAAGTTACCCCAAATGGACCCCATTAGAAATTATGCTCCAGGTTGCTCTTAAAGTATATTTTAACATGAACAGTATGACTTTTGACCTTTCCAAAATCTGATTCATGTAAAAATGAAAACATTCACTTAACAGGAACAGCAGCTGTGCACACTTTCAATACATTATCCCAAAATATGGGTCACTCAGCTGTTAGCCACTAAATAATACAGAAAACACTTTTGAACTGATTAGATGGTGAAGATTTAGCAAATGCTTAACTCTGAGTTGAATAAGTTGCTTCTTGCCTTAACAGAAGAACATTGACCTCTTATAATGAAAAACTGCACCCTGAAAGAGGCTGAAACATACCGGTTTTTATTTCTAAAAACAATGTGATGTAACATAAAAGCACACTGATACTGATACAATATATCACTTGGTTGCTTTAAACTTGAATTGAAAATCTCATTTCACAACAGAATCTCTTCTGAGCAATAATMAGATTTTGTGCTCTAACAATTCATAGAGTGTATGGAAACATATAACTTTACTTTGCCATTTGTGCTATCACAGCTCTGTTTAGAAAGTACAAACACCTTTTTGCAGCGCGGYAACAGCTGTAAAACTGTGCCAGACCTGTTTGTTTTTGAGTATATATACGTACTGTTATAGCTTTTGCATGGCTTAAAAAAACATTAAAGCAACAAAGAGATGTGTGCTGCAAACCCATAGTTTGTGTTTTTTTAAACAAATATGGGGAAAATGTATTTCAAAGTAGCTCTATCTGTTTTTTAAGTAATATCAAAACCAATGTTTTATCTGCTTCCAAAATCCTTTTTGCCCATTGAAACAAATCAAAAGGGACATTATTTTATAAGCTTCATAAAAAGGCTCCAAGCCAGATATGGTCAGGGAGATATGCCAAAGTCCCATTGAAATAGCTTTTGTATTGTATTGCTATCTCTCTTTTGATGTTATCATGAACAGTTTCATTTATTTTCATCTGCCAGAACTCTCACACTAAGGAATCCACAAGAAAGTCTTGCAAAGGTTCAGTACATTTTGCTACACCGTTATTGTCTCCAAACAATTATATGCAGATTGTAAAGTCACATGTTGTAATTTGATGTGTTCAATTCAATTAAATTTCAATTCAATTCAATTCAATTCAAATTCAATTCAAAAAATATTTTATTGATCCCAGATGGAAATTAGGTTAACTTTAAAGATAAACTCTATTTTATAAAGATTTGTAATATGTTAGCAATGTTTGTAAATACTGTACATTTATTGTAAGAATGTATCATTTAGGATATTTATGTTTTTAAAAATTTAACTAATATGTGAAGACAATGAGTTATTAAAAATGCATTTCAATATAGATTTTAGATGATCTATGAGGATTGAGCTCAAACATTGCACACACAGCCAGGGTGGCTGCCGGGTTCTGGGGGGTGGACGGCTGGGAGGATGCACTTGGTCGTTGGCGGTGTGGTGGGGTGGTCATGGGTGTGGCTTCTCTGCTGGCTGGGCGTCCTGTTGCGGCCCGGACCGGGCCTTGGCTATCTGCTCCTCTCCACCTCAGAATGATTGGGTCTACCTCCTGGGTTTGGGTGTGTGCTGCCTCCAATAGGGGGTGGGTGCATGTCCTGGACCTGGGGGGTATAGAGTGTTTATCGGGGTATGAGTGGAATGTGGCGTCCTTGCATGTCTTTGATTGAGTGGGKGTGAGGATGAGGGTGGGATGGTGCGATTGTGCATGTTTGGGTATTTGTCAGGCTGCGGTCTGGGCTGCCCCTCCTGCTGGTTTATCTGGGGGCCCGCTGTTACTCGGCCCCCTGGTGGGGTGTGTGGCTGGCTGCTAGCGTACTGGGGGTTCCCGAGGCCTGGGGCTGGGCGCTGGAGTGTGTGCCGGCCTGGCCTGGTGACTGCCTGCTGGGGCTCGGGGCCTCTGACCCTGTCGGGCTTTGGCCTGGAGGGGGTGCGCCCTGGGGGCCTGGACCTCTGTGCCCTTTCCTGGATCTGCTCTGGTATGGCGGGTGCCGGTGGGGCCCATGAGTTTGTCGCTGCTGGCCCCGGGGGCTGTGCGTGTGGTCACTGGGGGGACTCAAACCAGTTCTCCCCTATGGT